TGTGCACTGTCTAGAATCTTCCAAATTGTCGCAAAACTCGCTAAGGAGCATAAGGCTTTATGCTTCGAATACCCATCAAAAGAATATAAGAGACCTCTGCTGATATGTATACAGCTTCAGTAGCAGGAAGCCATCCATAAGCCCATTCAACTTTATCTGCGGTCAAGTATCTTAAGCATGACGACCAGGCCTCAGTACCCTCAGGGAACTAAATACCTGTCACCCGGGTCTCGAATTCTGTAATACAACTCAACCCGGTTAAACCGTAGTTCATATAGCCTGTGCGGTGACAGAGGTGTTCCTGTATCCACAACTGCAAGAGCAAATTGCAACCTTGAAAGAATTTCTCCCCTTCCCGACATTTGGTCAAAGCTCGGTACATTTCTGCTACAATCAGGGGAACCACTATGCTAGTAGGTTTTTTCGTGGCAACATGTAGCATCCCTACTTGGTCGAGGTCTATGTGACCATCTTTTCTCGGACAAATTACCACTCCTAAAAAGGCTACCATGAAGGCTAATGCCAGTCGGGCTTCCCATTTGTCTTTATTTCCTGCATGGGTCAATCCTGTGTTGGGTTCGTCGAAACCTTTGGGGTTACCATACCGGTGATATAAGAAATGCAATGTACAACACCCTTCTGCCAGGTGCAGGTCTTGAATATCCCGGCTGATGTTCAACAAATCCAAGAACCTATGAAGGGTTACCGGTCGTGGGTCCAATGGGTATCTACCTCGGAGGTTCCCGTTGAGACCCGCGTATCCTGCAATCTCTTCTAATGTAGGTGTGAGTTCAAAATCTGAAAACCGGTATACATTACGGGTCGGATCCCAAAATGGTATTAGTGCCTCAATGATATCCTTCCTTGGTTTGATGTTCAATAAATCTACGAGGCCGCCCAAACTTTTGACCACGGTATCTCTGCTTCCTTTTCCCAAATCATGCCACCACATGTGGAGTTTCAAAGGGATCTCGCTCAGGACTAAGAAGGTCTCGATGTTATTTGAATTCATCCTGCACATTTATTTAGGGGAATTTAATGATTTATTTCGAAAAATGGCTATTTGTGCAAAAATTCTTTATTTAGAAAAACAAGGACTTGGATTTGCAAATACGGCCTTTCAGCACTTCTAGGAGGAAGATTTTAAGGTTGTGCCCGCAAACCATTTAAAAATGACTCAGGGTGGCTGTTCTTGCAAAAAATGGCCTTCCGGCGTCCTTTTAGGGACATTCGGCTTATTTTAAACAAGAATGGCATCACCCGACTTATTTTGTGACAAAATTAAAATTTTGGTATTTTTGGGTATTTTTGCAAAAGGGTGGTTGGACCCGATGAGGGTTGCTTACGTATCTCACATCCGGTGAGAATCAAACCAGCGTAGTTCGGGCAGATATGCCAAAAACAAATGTACTTTGAACAAATACTTTTCTCTTTTCTCTTTTTTTTTCATTTTTCACAAATCCGGCATCATTTCGGTACTATTTGGGCATTGGGTTTTTCTTTTTTAAAACAAATGGTCACCCTCACTTAGTCCTATCACTGCTTATTTTCGCAATTTTCACTCATTTAGACAAGCCGGTCAACATGCAAAGCCGAGCAAATAAATGCGCAAGTAGCACGTAAGATGCATCAGGATGGTCAATTTGTTTCAGGTCACCTGTCCTAGACGGACCCAACCCCTGTGTTGAGTCCCCTAAGTCAAATGCACATGATGCAAACAAACGTCCTACTAGGGATCCGGCATGAAGTTTTGTTCTTCTAGGTTTAAACCCTAGGTTTATTAGTCTAGACCTGGCTTACGCGAGCGGACAACTCGAGCCGAGGGGGAGGTAGCGTACCGGGGATACAGAAGCTCCGCCGGCTTAGCAACTTATCCAAACCTCGTTCTAAATGGGAAAAGACTCTAAACAGAAGAGAAGCTACACGAAGTGCATCCTTCTCCATGACGTAGAAGACTCAGAGAGAGGAAGGGATTCGTAACAGTTTATATATACAATTCAACAAATATCAAAGCGGTAACACATTTAGCACATATAGCATGGAACATGTAGAAAAATCAGATAAAGCCAAATACAACAATTATACTAAGCTCGAATTCTTGAACCCTGAATCGGAATTCCGGGTTCGTATCCCCAGCAGAGTCGCCAGAGCTGTCACACCTCCTTTTTTACACACGTACCCCGAAAGATAATGTTTAAGGGAGTTTTTCCATTTAAAGTGACACTATTCAAAATGGGATTGTTTATTTGCTTTTAGAGTCGCCACTTGGAATAGGATTGGCTTTTGGTGTCCCAAGTCACCGGTTTAACTTGAGCTATAAGAATGCAGCTCTTTGAACTTCCTTGGATTTTCAAGTTCAAATTTGAAATTTTTGAACTTAAGAAAAGGGATTTTGTGAGGAAATTAAAACTGGAACGTTTTTTTTTTTGGGAATTTTCAGAGGGTCTAAACTTGTGAATTAAGGCATTGGACGTGCCTTTTATAGGCAAGGATAAGGGCAGCCCTCAGATTTTCATTTTTGCATTTTCCATCATTTCTTAATTTTCATTTTTGCTTAAAAGTCCCTTATTTCCTGACTTTTTTCTCAAGTTATAGCCACTAACTTCCTAAAATTCTGTTTTGACTCCTATCTAGAATGTTCCAGAGATTTCTACTAGTTGCTACCAAGATTCCTTCTATCCAAAAGCCTATACTACCCTTGAACTTTAATCTGAATTACTAACTATGTCGAACTAAACCCCCAGCCCTTGTTAACCATGGTCAAAACTCACCACAGTTAAGCAACAAATGCTGGATCATTCAAAGAAAATCAATTATACTAAAAAAAACTAATATTGAAATAAGAGTCTAATTATCCTATTTTAAGTATCAGAATCACAACTAATTAGAATTAGACTTGCACGACTGGAACTAAAATTAACAACAAGTGAAACTGCAAAGAATTAACATAAACAAGAAGAAAGAAATCGAAGCTCGAGCAAGAATCAGTGAACATGATATATAATACTGAATTGTCCAACTAAACTAATCAATAGGAAGTAAAAATTAAAGCCTATACTAATGGAATCAAACACTGAATTAAACTAAAATCAAAAATCACAAAACAGAATCAATAATAATCAAATAAGGAGAAAAAAAAACCTTACTAATTTTGCCTTTATCTCTCGAAATTGATTTTCAGTTAATGTTATATGTCTATTTTGCCAAAAATAGACACATAACATTAATTGAAGATCATTCGACTACGTGAAAATTCAAAACAGGTTGAAGTTATTCAAACCCTAGATCAAAAATTCGTGAGATTCTACTTTGATTTGAAGGATTTTGGCTTGAGATTTGAGATGAGGAGGTCGAGGGGATCATAGGGTGTGACTTTGGTTGGATTTGGAGGAGTTAGGGTTTTGGCCGAAATTTTGATTCAATATTCGAGGAGTCTGACGGGGATTCGAAGGAAACTAAGCCCGGATATGGAAAGGGGAGGTGGAAGAGCATCTATGGTGTAATTTTGGGGTTCATCGGAGAATCGCCGCCGGCGGAGGCGATTTCCGGCCGGCAGCGGACGGCGGAGGGGCGGTGGAGCAGTGGCGGAGACATGGTACGAGGAAGATAGGTTATGTTTTAGAGTTTGTATATTTTTTCGGACAATTTTATGTAAAGGTAAAACTCAATTGTGGCCGTTGGATTAGATAAAATTGATGGCCAGGATTGTGTGACGCCAAACGGTGTCGTTTAGTTATAGGGGGAACTGGACCGGGTATTTTGGGATTGGGTTTGGGCCATTTTGGCCGGATCTGGTTGGGTTCATTGGGCTCGAATTGGCCCAAGACTTGTGGCATGTTTTACTCTTCTTTTATTTTGATTCAATTAGTCACTTTCTTTTTTATTAAAATCCTTTTCTTTTCTTTTTTTTTCCTTTTTATTCATTTGTTTTGTTTATTTCTTTACAAAATTAAAACTAACAAAACCTAATTTAAACTCCCCAAACTTAGACTAATTAATTTCTAAAAGAATAGACTAAGTCCTAATTTAAAATTATGAAAAGACCATTTTGTTATTTTTTTTCTCTCATTTTAGTAATATTAATATAAAACCGAAGTGTAGATGCAAATGCACTATTTTTGTACTTTTTTATGAATTATGGCAACTAAGATGCACACAAAAATGCAAGCAAGGCACAAAATCATGCAATTAATTCAAATAATAGAGAAAAATCCTAATTCTAAGGAATTTATAGGAGTAATTTAAGCTTGGCAAAAATCACGTGCTCACACATCCAAACACAGAAAAATCATCCATGAACACTTCCACAAACCTCTCAACCATGTCAGTAAAAATGGCCATCATACACCTTTGAAAAGTCGCAGGTGCATTACAAAGACCAAAGGGCATTCTCTTGAACGCATACGTGCCATAGGGGCAGTAAATGTGGTCTTCTCTTGGTCCTCTGGGGCTATAGAAATCTGATTATCCCCCGAGTAACCATCTAAGAAGCAGTAGTACTCTTGGCCAGCTAATCTATCAAGCATTTGGTCAATAAAGGGGAGGGGGAAATGGTCCTTCCGGGTGGCATTGTTCAATTTCCTATAATCGATGCAAATCCTCCACCCAGTGACAGTTCTTGTGGGGATCAAATCATTATTTTCATTAACCACTACAGTCATCCCCCCTTTCCTGGGTACACATTGAACGGGGCTTACCCATTTGCTGTCTGAGATAGGAAATACAATACCTACATCAAGCCACTTAATCACTTCTTTTCTTACCACCTCTTTCATGATTGGATTTAGCCGGCGTTGTTGCTCTACACTGGGCTTGTGTCTATCCTCCATGAGAATTTTGTGCATACAAAAGGCTGGACTAATGCCTTTAATGTCAGACATCGTCCACCCAAGTGCTCGTTTGTGCTCACGTAGCACTCTCAACAGCTTCTCTTCTTGCAATTTAGACAAGTCAGAAGAAACAGTAACAGGTAAAGTGTCAGAGTCACCAAAATAAGCATATTAAAGGTGAGGTGGGAGAGGTTTAAGCTCTAGTTTTGGGGCTTCCTCAATGGACGGCTTTGGAGGAGGTCCTTCTGGCCTATTTAAAGGCTCAAAGGGGTGTATCCCTTGCATGTACGCACAAGATGTATCTAAGATGTGCATCATCTCCTCAACCTCATCATCACTCCCCGGGCTATCAAACAACATAAGCGCTTTCTCTAGAGAATCGTCTAGATATACACTCGTGCCAAGAATTTGCTCATCAACCTCAACAACGGATACCATTGAGAGATCCTCATAATGGCGGGGGAGTTGGATTGCTTTGTACACATTAAAGACTGCTTCCTCGTCATCTACCCTCAAGATCATTTTTCCTTCTCTCACTTTGATAATTGCATCACCAGTAGCCAAGAGAGGTCGCCCCAATATGATTGGAACCAGTTCATCAGCCTCATATCGAGGATAATGAAATCAGCAGGGAAGATAAATTTCCCAATTTGTAGCAACACATCTTCAATCACCCCCTCAGGGTGTGCTATCGACCTATCAGCCAGCTACAACATCACAGTAGTTGGCCTTGGAGCTCCCAGGCCCAATCGCTTGAACAAAGATAAGGGAATCAGATTTATACTTGCCCCCAAATCGCAAAGAACACGTCCCACATCAATATTACCAATTCGCATAGGGATGGTAAAGCTGCCAGGATCCTTAAGCTTTTGAGGGAGCTTATTTTGGACCCTTGAAGTGCATTCCTCAGTAAGTGCAACTGTCTCAAATTCAGTCAATCTTCTCTTGTGAGCCACTACATCTTTTATGTACTTACCATACTTTGGAATTTCACGAAGCACATCAACGAGTGGGATATTCAATTGAACCGGGCTCAACATGGAGAGAAACTTGCTGAACATGCGATCATCATTCTTTTTCTGCAATCTCTGGGGGAAAGGGGGTGGTGGCCTTGGGGCCTCCACTAGCTCTAGAATTTTAGCAGCATTATTTGGCTCGTGTGTCACTTTAGGGATCAACTCCCCCTCAGGTATGGGCTTGTCTTTTCTCTTCTTTGGCACTTCCTCTAGCTCCCTCCCATTTCTAAGTGTTACTGCATTCACTTGCGGGTTCTTCTCTGTATCACTTGGGAGAGCGCCTGCAGGTCTAGTGTTTTGATTTGTTGCTAACTGCCCCATTTGCCTCTCAAGATTTCTTAAATCGGTCCTAAGTTGCTGATTGTCGCTCAACAACTTCTTTAGCAAATCATTGGTACTTTCTTCCATTTGTTGGGGTGGCCTTTGAGGCTGATTGAAACCCCCTTGGGGTCTATGTTGATTCTGATTCTGCTGATTTCCACCCCATGTGAAGTTGGGATGATTCCTCCAATTTGGATTGTAAGAATTTCCGTATTGTGCATGCTGATTCGGTGGACCTCTGTTCTGTTGCCCCACATAATAGATGGATTCTGGATTCGTGGGGCACATGTCACTCATATGATTGTCACCACATAATTCGCAACAAATAGCCATTTGGTGCACAGGTTGCATTGTTTGTGGTTGCTGCATTGTCATCCTATTCATCGGATTGGCCAGCTAGCAAAGCTAAGAAACACAAGCGTAAAGGATAAATAAAAGAAGAGAGAGAGAAGAAAAATGAGAATGAAAAAGGAAAAAAAGAGAGAAGAAAAGAAAAGTGTAGAAAAAGAAAAAGAAAAAAAAGGAAGAAAAGAAAGAAAAGTCACAACAGCAAAGTAATGATCTAAGTATTTAAAAATCAAAGAACCAAGTTTTTCCAGAAAAGTGCTATTTTGCGGTCCAGAATGCGGTCGCAAATCAAGTATGCGGACCGCATTTCTACCGCAGAATGAGTCAGTGATTTGGTTAAAATTAAGGTCAAAATGCGGTCCATTATTCGACCGCATAACTGATATGCGGACCGTATTTCTATCGCAAAATGAGTCCATGTGCCAGGCAAATTTTTGGTCAAAAATGCGGTGCATTATGCGACCGCAAATCGTGTATGCGGACCGCATTTCCGCCGCAAACCCAAACAGTAGGATCAGATTTTTGGAGATTTTTTGCGGTCCATTCTGCGGACCGCATTTCGTCTCTGTGATCGCAAAGTGCGACCGCATATCTTACTCGGGTACCTATTTTTCTAAATTAAACCTGACCCCCTTTTTAATAAAATACCCCAACCCCTCATTTTAACGAGTTTTCTGAACAAAATAAGAGTGAGGTAAGAGAGGGTTCTTTAGAGAGAAAGTCATCTTCATCAAATTTGATTCTTCAAAACTATCTGGGCCGGGAAATTTCAAGTAATTGTCTTCATCTCCATTCTTGCAGGTAAAATCCCCAACCCTTTTTCATTGATTTTCAGGTTTAAATTAAGGGGGGAGTCTCATGCATTGATTATTGAAAATAATGGTTGAAAACATACATGCATGCCTTTTATAACCTAAAATCTAGTAAGAGGAATTGGGTAGGAGTAAAGGATTGTACAAAGAAGGGTTGATAACCTAAATAAGGTTGAGTAGCAATTGTGAACTTCAATTCTAAGTCATATGTGTTAACTTGTGCACTAGATTGACGTTGCTATACTATTTGGTGAATTTAAAATAGAAGTTAAAAGGGAATTCGGCTCCAGGTATGGATGGCTAACTTTGACCTTTGTGAAATCACCTTGTTTGGTGTACGAATATTTGGTATGTGATACCTACGTGGATTATGAGTGAAGTTCTTGTGATTGGTATGACTTGAGTATTCGTGGTTAAGTTTCCCGATATAATGGTGTAAGTAATTGACAATAAATCTAATGTGTGATTGTGAAAGTGTTATGTGGTAAGAGCTGAGAAACAAATGATGGAAGGAAATCGTAAATGATGCAATTGGAACAACTGTGGTAATAACATATATGGCTTGTCGTGGGCAATTACTGTTGTGACATAAAATGCATATGAGTTGTTGAATATGATGGAAATGGTATTGAGGGTTATGGAAATTCTTTGTGAATTGTTGTTGTTATTCGTTGAGAATTGTTGTTGTAGTTCTTGAGAATTGTTATTGTTGTTCTTTGTGAATTGTTGTTGTTGTTGTGTTGTTTGTGAATTGTGATTGTTCGGTGGGATCAGGTTGCGCGCCGCAACACGAAGTAATAAGGTGTGGGTTATGGTGATAAGGGTGGCTGAGGTAATAAGGGTCGAAAGTGATCGAAATCACTATTGAAATGAAAATATGAGAAAATTGTGAAATCATTGATGTGATAATGTTGAAGGGGAAAAAGGAGAGATTGTAAACTTGTTTGGCTTGATTGTTCTTTTTCATGTGTATTTGATTGTTTATTCTATTACTGCTCGTTACTTTTGTATGGTTTGAGTTTACTTGGGGCAAAGTTTGTTCATACATACCAGTACAATTCAAATGTACTAACATCCCTTTTGCCGGGGGCGCTACATTCCTGTTATGATTGTAGGTGGATCCATAGCAGGTACTCCAGTCCACCGACCGTAGCTCCCCTTCACTTCTCGTCAGTTTAATTGGTGAGCCCCTTTCCTCTCGGGGCCCTGCGTGGATCATGCCGCTTTTATTCCGGAAGTCATGTTTTGGTATTTGTGTAAGGAATAGTCGGAGCCTTGTTACCGACAAGTATTACATCATCCTTTGTATCCTTAGAGGCTCCGTAGACAGGAAATGTGGGTTATGAACTTATGTAATATGTATTTTGTATGTTGGGCGATGTAAGTTGTAAACCTCATTAAGTAACCATGTATGTTATGTATGTTTTGTAAAAAGGTGTTTTAATTATAAATGGCCAATTCCTTGATTAATGAGTAATGAAACCACGGGGTAACACGTGNTTGTCATCCTTGTCATCTGATTAGCCAACTTTGCAATATCGGCTCTCATGGCTGTCAAGTCGTCGAGCTCAAGTACTCCAGCTGATTTTTGCTTAATTGCCTTTCGCGAATCACCCTCACCTTGTCAATTATTATCATTAGCTCTGAAGTTATTCAGTAAGAGCTGAATTTCACTGTACGGTCTGGCCATGCAACTACCCCCACAAGCTGAATAAAGATTCATCTTTGATGCATCATCTAACCCATCTACAAAAGTGTGACCCAATACCTCGTCCGTTTGACTATAATGTGGACAGTCTCTGAGCATCTTCTTGTACCTTTCCCATGCTTGACGAAGTGTCTCGCCAGCTCGTTGTTCGAACCCAAGAATTTGACTCCTCAATATCTTTGTTTTCTTAGTGGGGAAAAACTTGATTAAGAATTTCCGTGCCAGATCATCCCAAGTGCGGATTGAATTCGCTGGCTCCTTATTCAACCACTCCTTAGCTTCCCCGATCAGTGAAAAGGGGAAAAGTGTCAGCCTGACATAGTCCTTGGAAACGTTTAGATAATTGTAAGTATCCGTAATTTCCAGGAAATTCTGAATGTGCCTCTGCGGGTCTTCATGAGGTAAACCCACAAATAGCCCTGTGGATTGGATCAACTGCACCATGTATTGTTTGAGTTCAAAGTGCCCAGTGATATCAGGCTTCGCAATAGCCTGAGTCATATTAGCCAGACTGGGCCTTGCAGCTTCAACAACCGCGCGTTCCTCATTACCTGCCATCTCAATTGGCTGTGGTTGAACTACGATGTTCAACTCTCTTTCAATTCTGGTTCTAGCGTCCACCTCCCTCCTCACTCTGTGAAGTGTTCGTTCAATTTTGGGATCAAGAGGAAGGAGATTGTTTGCGCTTTTACTTCTTCGCATTCAAGAAAAGATCCTGTATTAGCACAAACAAATTGAACTGAAAATTAAAACTTGAATAAATAAATAATAAAATCTCAACTCAGTCAAGTAGCTAATTTCTAAGTCCCCGGCAACGGCGCCAAAAACTTGTCGCGATCAAAACACTCACGCAAATGCACGTGATCGTCAAGTAATAAAGTAGTGAGTAGAGTATCGTTCCCACGAAGACTTGTGATTAACTGTTGACTGATTCAAACTCAATTAACTTATCTATCCAAGAGGTTTTTCACAAAGTGGAGATGTAACTAATTTACTACCTATACTATCAAGCAATAATTTAACTAGAACAATTAACCAAACAACCAGCAATTTCGAGTAACAAACAGTAGGAGAGGATATTCCAGGGTCACAGGCTAGCTGACAATCGTGTTGTGTTCTTGGCTTAAAACGACTAATTGATTTATCTTGGTTGTTGATTGACAAGGTTAATATTACTCATAAGAGTCTGTCGAGTTCTTACTCGCCTATCCAAGTTAACTCAATGCCTATATGTCTATGGAATTAAGATTAACAAGAATGCATTTACAATTCCTGTATTTCAACCAAGCAAGGCAATTGGGTATATGTCTATCCCAATCGCTAATCCGTTCCCCGATACCCAGGTTTAAGAACTTGCTCTATTTAATTCTATATGCAATCTAAAGTTCCCACTTTCGAGTTCAACTAAAGATTCGTATACGAATAGTATTTCACTGTTAGCTACTCAGCAAAATAATTAAGAGCAGAATTAAATAAACAACCCAATATGATAAACCAATTTTGTCGAATTAAACTTCAAACAACAACATTCATGTTTCACCCATGACCCTAGAACAATGGGTTTTAGCCACTCATACTAGTGTTCATCACAATAAGGTTCAATTTCATCACAATTAGCAAAAACAAAGGGGAGAAAAGAAGAACTTGATGATCAAATCTCCTCCTTGCCTCTTGCCTCTCTATTCCTTGTACTAGACTATGAAAACCTTGATATTTTACTCCTTGGGCGAGCTTGACTTTATATAGGTTAAGTGAAAATTCCTCCAGATTTCTGATTTTGCCCCTAAACAAACCTTTTTCGGAACTGGGACTAGCGCGAACGCGCTAAGGTTCGCGCTAAGGTTCGCGCTAATTCCGTGACATTCTGCCTCCAGCTTCTGGACTAGCGCGAACGCGCTAGTTCAGACCATTTTTTCTTCAATTCGTTGTCTCGTCTTTGCGTGCACTCAGCTCCGAGGGGTCTTTCTTGCTCCAATGCAACTCCAATCACACCTTTAAGGCATCATATAGGCTCACCATCCTGCAATGTGTAAAATTCACAATTAGAGCCCATTTTTCATCATTTAACCATATTATGACATTGAAACATAATCAAGCGGGAGCATAAACAATCGCCAAATCACCTAGACTTAGCCTATTATCATTCGCCTACCCAAGTTAGGCCCCGGGAGGCTAATTACTTCGGCGCCAGTTCCGAGGTGGTACACGACCTCGAGGATCTCCATCAAAAGAAGTTAGGCTTTAAGAAGCCAACGGCGTCATCTCCGGTCCTGAGGTGGTACCCGACCTCGAGGATCTTCATCAAAGGAAGTTAGGCGTTAAGAAGCCAAAGGTACCATCTCCAGTCTAAAGATGATATCCGATCTCGAAGGGCCCTCTCTAGAAGAAGAACAAGCACTTCGAGCTCCGTCCATAAGGGCTCGACCCCAGGACATCGCCTAAATCTGGGCAACCCCTCATCGGGGACCTATCTACAATGCCTTAAAAGATTAGCTACAACAAACTCAAAGCAAGTTTCCATGTGCCCAAAGCTAACCTCACTCGGAGACCGTTCTCAAAAGTTTCAAGGCTGGAGGAATTATTTTCATGTGACCCAAAGTGAAGGTCCCGACGGCCCAAGTCTATCGAACCAATTCAAGCCTGGTCCGAGGAACAACGGAGATGCCGTTTTTTATCAACCAAAAGACAGAAAAAAATACTCACACACGGGTTAGATATCGGCAATGGTCAGCAGAGGCATACATCCAGGGTCTCCACAAGTGTTAAAGAAAATGGCAAACATCAAAGACGAAAGTCGAGAAAAAATTCTCATATTCAAAAACGTTTGGTTACAACAGCCCGCGAGGGGTTCTTACGTATGATTACAAAAGCCCACAAGGGGTTCTTACACAGAAACAAAGAGGCAAAAGGGGAAACATGAAGTAAAAGCCTAAAACCTAGTCTACTCTCGAAGGTCCATCTCCGGTAGCAGCATCCCCGAGCGCCGCCTCCTCGAACTTGCATCCTTGAAGGTGATACCTTCGACCGCCACCTCCTCTAGGTTCCCAGCTCGATCCCTCGGAATAATATCTCCGAGGGAGAAGATGAAGAAAAGGAAAAGGGGAGGACGCAGAAGAGGCAGAAAAAAGAGACATAACCCGCCGAAGCCAAAGGTTGAAGATTCGGCGGGCAACAGCCTCGACGGCCGGTTGTGACATTTTATCCCTTAGGAAAAAACCCAAGGAATGAAGTGCCACACCAGGCCAGGGTAGGAGAGTGAGCAGCGGTGTATAGTCCGAACACTCTCCCGAGCAGCGGTGTAGAATCCGAACGCCTTTCTAGATCGGAAGAAGCCAGCCACCACTGTCTCATCACCTCGAGCCAATAACGACAGTAGTAGCAGTCGTAACAACAACAACAGCAACGACAAAACGGTGTGATCCCGCTCGACAAAGGGAAGCTCAGGCAGGAGGCCACCACACAGCTGATGAGAATGTTGCCATACAACCATAAGGCCGTGAACCCCAAACATGGTGGTTAATAATTAAGGAAGATGGTGAGAAGAAAGGGATGAACGAATGGAGAAGGGCACTTAAATAAAGAGATCGGAATGCCCCCGTTTATAGGGGATAATGACACAGCCATCGATGCCTTTGAAAGACGGATCGACAGGCGCAATCAATGTGTTCTTGAAAACTGAATCGACGGCGGTGTTGTCACTTTGAAGAACGGGAATCGATAGTGCATTGAATGGCACCGAAAAGACAAGTCCATGGGATGTTCCGGTTATCATAAAGGCTCATGTCATAGGTTTCATCACCGGTATGACGTCGTCACGTGGAACCCGAAGAGTTGGGCATCAAAATCTTTTCCTATCGCTTCGTTCTAGAAAATGCGGAAACTATCTCTATACGGCAAAATCGGAGGGTCCAATTTCCCGTCATTAAGGCATTTCAGAAGATCACCTCGAGGCCTCGAGGCTGCAAAGAAGCGCTCGAGTCTCCTTCCTCGGAGCTCGTCGACACCCGACCTGAAGGGAATATCGACCGAGGCTAGAATAAAAATGGGAAGTTCCCAAGACACATGACTGAGTCTGACGAAGCATAGCCGGCATATTCTGAGCCCTAATCGGGGTGTCACATCTAGCTGTCACATCTCCATATCTTTATAATTAATGTATGTCATACCATATAAGGTTTCCTTCTTCAATATAAACGGGATTCCTACCATTTTGTAGAGAAGGGATGTTGCTCCAACTATTCTACACGAAATATATAAGAACTCTCTCTCTCTCTCTTTTCTCTCTAACATACTCTCTCGATATTGTTGCTCTTACTTATTATCTTCATACTTGTTCTTCATTTATTGCTTATCATTGGCCATAAAGCCTCCTTTAATTATATCACAACTGTTAGCCCTTCCCCGACTGCCCCTAATAGCTCGAGCCCGAGCCCGGGAATCGACCTCGAAACCCCAATCCGACTAGCTCGAGGCCCTGAACAGCTAACTCATCGGTTCGATTATAACTCTATTTTAGCTCGCATTTCGTCCTTAAACTTCATACACATAACATCAATTGCTTTACAACTAGCATAAAAATAGATCACGTATTTTTAGAGTCTTATCAACAAATTTAATTGTTATTATCATTTTCATGGTAAACAGTTTAAATTATACACCGATGGCTCAATCAAAGAAACTGCTCTGCATGGAGCCACGGGTGGCATGTTTAGAGAATGTATTAAAGTCATCAAAAGTTAGTACAAAGGTACTTTTTCTAACGAAAAAAGTTTGGATTAGCTTATTGTAAATAACTTATAAGTTTGAAGTGCTGAAACTGATTTTTTAGATAAGCATTTACGTGTTTGGATAGACGTGCTGAAACTGATAATAAGTAGTTGATGTGTTTGGTAGAAAAGTGCTGATAAGTTGTTCTTTTATTAAAATAACTAAAATATCCTTAAAAACTTTACAAAAGATAATAAATTAAAAAGTTTCTTGGTAATGAAAAAGATGAACAACGAATATGGAATGAAAAGAAAGTTAGAAAATTTATATTGGGGATAAAATTTTGTGAATTAGAAAATATTATTAAGGATAAACTAGTAAAAGTCTTGGTCAAACTAAAAGTGCTTATAAGCTAAAAGGCCATAAGTTGGGGGTGACCAACTTATGACTTATGGCTGATTTTAGCTTATAAGCACCTTGGGTGTTTAACAAACGCGTAGATAAGCCAAAAGATGTTTATAAGCCAGTTTAACCAGCTTATAAGCTTAGCCAAAACCCTCTTTATCAAAGTACTTCAAAGGTCAAATAACTATTTTTTGTAATAAAATACTCACTCAAATTTGTTTAAGTTGAGCTCCATTTTTTTCTTAGCTCGTTTGTCCCTCGTTCTGTTCGAACTAGTTTACAGAACAAATTCATTATTCATGGGAGTAAGTTCCATCCAGCTATATATATTACAAGCTTTAGTACTCGAGCGTTTAAGGCCATGCGAATGGATTTAATGGAATCATCATCTTCTTATTTTAGGTTTCAAAAACGTAATCTCTTTATACGTTAAGATCTTAGATTCAAAGACATTAGCAAGAAGCTAACCGTCGAGTGCCCTAAAACATTTCAATATTTTATGGTGAAAGATTGAAATGGGGACGATTAGTTAGTATTGAAGTGTGTGATGTAGATTCATCTAAAAGTTTATACTATTATAAAGAGAGTACATTTTAATTTACTTAATGATGTGTTTTCCCGTTCAAAGTACATGTGATTCTTTTTCATAGGCCAAGTGCGTGCAACTTCTTTACCATGATGGATAGCGGTGAGACTCTATTGAACCTTAGACTCTTGCCCACTCCAATAACATATTGAATTTTATACGTGAGTATCTCATCTAAAAGGTTAAATTGCTAGAAAGATCACATTTTAATTTAATTAATTACGTATTTGGAGTTTAGGGCTTAGGAGAGGCTGACGGTTATGTAAATTGGCAAGGGAAGAGAATTGATCGGTACATATTAAAATTTCTTTAACATGACGTGTCTTTATTCGAAAGTTCTGAAAGAAGAGAGATAGACGAAGGATAAATCAATATTCCACTGCCAAAGCCACACAGATTAGATCCAACAACCAAAAACAAAGAAAAACATCAAATATCAAGAATAGAAACAAAGTTCCTTAAACAAGCAGCATTAATAATGGGCAGCTTTTTAACAGTGTCTGGTGCAGAAACATCGGCGGCGGAAGCCCCGGCAGTGGCCGCTGCGGAAGCCCTCTGACTTGCAAATTGTGGCACAGTTTCCCTTCCTAAAGCATAGTCCTTTGAAGCGTTGGCTCGGTGACTCGCATGTCCTTCCCTCTACCATCTTTGGTCCCATCTCTGCATGTCGTAAAACCATGAAATCAAGAAACTATTGGATTTTGTATGATTATGACTCACACACCCTAAAATTTGCGCATAAATAAAGCAAAAGTCCATTACTCAAATGGTCACTCAACTATTCCAATTATGGGCTGTCACTTTTCTTTCATTTGTAACAAAAAAGTCACTTAACTATGTCTATAGCACTCAGAAGGTTACTCAACTAGATTTTTCAAATTTTGGGTTGTCAAATACCGATTTTACCCTCTAAATTATAAGCATTTATCTTTCTTTTTTTAAACTTTTAAATATTATGATTTTCCTTCTGTAATTTATATTATGGACTTACCCATAAATTTTATTTATAAATTAAAAAATAAAAAGTATTTAAGCATATATAATGCTGGAATAACAAAATAATGAGCATTGTAAAAAAATTAATTACAATAATTTGTCCGTAATAATAATTTTAGTATTAACAACAAAAATTCAAAACTCTATTTATACAATTGAGAATGAAAGGAAATAAAGATTGTAAAGATATATTCCATGCACGTACTATAAAAATAATTATTTAAATAAAGGTATTTTTATAATATACATTATATATTCTTGAAAATTATGCTCAATTATATTATTGTTCTGTCATTATATGAGTTGAAAACTATTTTTTATTTTATAAATAAAATATATTTATTCTATAGGTAAGTCAACAATGTAGATTAAAAAGAGAAAAAATTATAATATTTAAAAAGTAAAATTATTTTTTGATAATTTAGAGGGTAAAATAGGCATTTCACAATCAAAAATTTGGAAAATCTTGTTAAGTGACCTTTTGAGTGATATAGACATAGTTAAGTGATTTTATTTTTACAAACTAAAAAAAAGTGACTTTAGAAATAATTTGAGATAGCTGAGTGTCATTCAATAAAGTGATGACGATGATGTGTATTATTTTCATAAAGCTGATTATAATGACCAACTCAAAGGATGAAGTCAAACAGCTTCTGGTCTCCAAATATATGCATGCACGCATAAATAGACATGTATATTAATTTAAAATTAGAGATGGATTTTGCAGCGCGACAGGAAAACTTATATGCATTAAATGTGAAAAATAGTACCGTATAAAGATCTGTTAAATAAAGTAATACTACTAATATTACTGTCTATCCGAGTGTTATGTATTAAACTATAGTAAGCTGTAATACAAGAAAACGAGATGCTTTTCTAGAAATATGCAAGAACTGTGACGAGAAAGAAGACTTGCCAGTGGCAAAGACAAGCATCAGCATAAGGAACACAGTGGCGAACAATTTTATGTACCCTGCCATCTATTCCAGAATGGGAACTTTTTTCTTTCCTTTTTCGTGTGAATTTTAGAGAAAGTGAAAGACAGAAATAAATGGTGATATAGGGCTTTGATGGAAGTCCTATATATATATTTCCTGTGGATGGAAGAAAGAATATTTCTTCAAGTTGATTTACTTTTGAATAATGTAAGAAAATTGTAACGGCAAAGATCATACATATCTGTCATGATTAGCTAGCCATGACTACTCAGTACGTACCCACTTTTTCTTAGACAATGTCCTTTGATATATATATATCATCAATAATTGTTATGTAAAATTGTTGGGGCAAATGCGCACACAAGTATACGCAGTCGACAAGTAATAAAATGATGATTAAAGTATCGTTCTCACGAGTACTTGTGATCAACTATTAATTAAATTAAACTAGGTATGAATTATGCATTCACGTGATTTTTCGAGAGATGATTGTGATCTTAATTAACTAAAACTACTTTGAGAATTGACAAGAAAGCAAGGAGACAAGAATGCAAATAGAGCATACGAACAACTTAGGACGAAGATCAGTGAGATGAAAATATTCCAGGGTTATGGAATTAATGTCATTCATGTTGAGTTTTTCCAGTTGATTCAACTACTAGATCTATCTGATTTCTTGATTGACCGGGTTTTATGTTGCTCACGAGGTTCTTTCGACGCCTTGCTCGACTATTCAAGCCAACATAATACTATATGTCTATATAATTAGAACCAACTAGGATGCATGTGTAACTCCTGCAATAATAATCATGTCACGACCCCAATTTTCCTCCGCAGGATGTCGTGACGGCACCTAGTCTCTAAGACTAGGTAAGCCTAACACTTACTGAATTAATAAAGACTTTAACCATCAACTGATAAATATGAAATGAAAATCTTTATACACAACTTACAATCCCAAAACCGGTAGTATACGTTATAAGCTCTACTGAGTTCGCTAGAAAAACCTCTAAATACAACTGTTTCGACATAGAGATAAAATAGTGCAAGTACAATATCAGAAGCCGACTCCGAAGCCTGCGAACGGGACAGTAGGTTTACCTTGAGTCTCCACAGCAAGATCCGTACACTAGGTAACAATCGACCAACTCCGAAATACCTGGATCTGCACAAAAATATGCTGAAGCGTAGTATGAGTATACCACAGCGGTACCCAGTAAGTATCAAGACTAACCTCAGTGGAGTTGTGACGAGGAACAGTGATCGCTGCCTACTCCGCACTACTAAAAAGTAGGAAGAGAGGGTCGCAATAGCTTTTACCCGATTTGTGGGTCGGGATCGATTTCCACAGGGAGCTAGGAAGGGAGTCGAGTATCTATCTAGAGTTGAGTTGTGTAATTGTCCCAAATATCACTTCCAATCATTTTTTGGTCTTTTCTTTATATTCTACTATTTCCAACTACTAATTATAAATGCAGTTCAATTATGCTAAACGAGAATTGCTACAAGTTGTATCTAATGGTTTAAAAGGCACTAGGGTAGTGACCTTCACCTAGGTGGCTAATTGACGGGTAATAACATCTAAGGCACGATTGACATGATTGGGAAATATGTTATAACCGTTACTCAATACTACCCACTCTACACCTCTTTGTAGAAAGAGTGGTTTTGCCCAATTGACTTTCTCGAGACCAATTGGGTATGCACATTTACTTAAGCAACTAGGGTTCAAGTCGGGTAATTACTCTCTCGAGGTTTAACCCTTTAATTGGGACTATCAAATCTCTTGATTCCATCCCAATTCCTTGTTGAGTCAATTTTGGAGACTTAGACTCTCTTTCTTAAGAAGAGCCAAGTCAACTTAGCACAAACTAGTGTTTGCAACCACTAATTCATAAATTTAATCATAAAATTGACCCAAATAACAAACACCCATAATCAATCTAACCTTAAATAACAACACCCATCAATTACCCACACTAGGGTTGAGCCACAACCCTAGCTAATGGGTTTAGCTACTCATGCTTGAAGATAAAATCAAAGAAATAGATGAAGAGAAAGACATAATATTAAATTACTAAAGTAAATATAATGATTCAATTGCTAAAACTACGTTAAAGTGCCCAAAATGGCTACAAAATGGCTTCTCACGAGCGCAGCTACTGTTCTGGAATATCTGATACCATAATAATGGAAAAATGTTCTATTTATACTAAGCTGAAAAAACTGGACAAAAATGCCCCTGTGGGGTCTGTGCGGACGACACAAAATGGTGTGCGGCCACACTAGGCTCTTGACTCTAAAAATCAACTCTCTGAACCCAGGCTCCGCGGACCGCACAGAATGGACTGCGGCCGCAGAGGCAACTAGCGAGGTCCACACAAACATGACAGCGGACCGCACAGGCTAGAATCTCGGCACTTGACATCTCTCTGAAGTTTGATTCCGCGGACCGCACAGAATGGTGGTGCGGCCGCGGTGTCTTCAGTGCGGTCCGCACAATATCTACTGCGGCCGCACTGCTTTGATGCCCTAAAGATCCAGTCTCTGAATCTCCCTAGTGCGGACCACACAGAATGGACTGTGGCTGCACTAGGCCAGTTTGTCCTAAGTTGTCTTTGTCTTTGATACTTGTGCAGGTTTCACTCCTTTTGAGCCGATCTTTGACATCTCGTCACTTTGTTGATTAAACCTGCAATCAAGCACAACTTATGAGCCTTTTGGGTCTATTTTGTAAGAATTTATACTCAAAGCGTAAGTAAGAAGGAGTATGAAACACGTCAAAATCCCTAGTTATTAACTCCCCAAACTTAAGCTTTTGCTTGTCCTCAAGCAAACAAAATAAGACCCACCCCTCGAGGTAAAATCCAAGAATTTTCAGCTATACTAAAGTAATCTCAACTAGCCTCAATTGGGACTAACAATTGCCCTCAATACAAATGAATCATTAACAACATTTAACCTTTGAAAAACCATGGATCAAGTGCGACACAAGAGCATCAAGAGTTGACTCAACACATCAAAGAACTCTTTCAATTACTTTGGTCATTGTGGAACCCAAACTCACACATCCTCAACTCTCCCTAAGCAAACCTCACCTTTAGAATAGTGGCACACAAATCGAGGTTAATGGAAATTCACTCATCTCCCTCAAGGAAAGGTCACAAGTCCGGCTCTAGGTACAATATGCTTGCCCCTTATATAAGTATCCACTAATGTAAGCTTCATTCAACTCAAGATCATATAGGGCCTTTGTGGAGTCATTGTGAAGGCTTTTGGTTTATGGTAGCTCATGTTTTTTTGTTCAAGTGGGTTCCATATTCCCTTAAGCACTTCTTTTGATTCATTTGGCACAATTCACTTGACTCTTTGAGTCATTTCACTTCTTTCTAAGGGGTTAGAGAGACACGTTATCACTCTTTCTTATGCATTTCAAACCTTTTCTCCTTTTTCAACCTTCCACACATTTCTTTCTTTTTCATTGCTTTTCTTGAATCCCTTTTCATTCTTTTTCACATTGAACTTTCTTTTTGTCTTTTTTTTTTTTTGCTTTTCTTTCTTTTTCATTGCCTTTCCTTTTCTTCACTTTTGTGCCTTTTTACCACTTTTTTGCAATCCTCGTCTCTCCCCCCAAACTTATACTTTTGCCATGTGCTAAAGGAAAGATTTGGGTGCCAAGAGAGGGTATCTTTTAGAATGGGTATAGGCTTGTATCATGGTTCTTGAAAGAAAAAGGTCTAAGGCTCAAAAGGGTTAACTAGGAATCTTATCATTGGTAGGCTATGGAATTGTTCAATCTATCATTTGGATCAAGAAGAGCCTATAATCACATCTCAAGTCAAAATTCACTTAGGATTTCGCCTCAACAAACATTCAGGGCGAGTTCTAGACCAATGGCTCGGGACTTGAACTTGCAATTCAATTACTCGCCACACAAGCTAAGGGATTACTAAAGACATAGAGTCGGGGGCCCACAACGACCTTAGATACGATTTGAGCACATAATGGTCCCGAAAAATCACTTGATGATTATCGGTCAACAAAAGAGTCTCAAGGCCACGACTTTCACCATCCTAAATACAACAATTTATTTTTGACCATAAGATCAAAGGCAAATGTGCTAGGCCCACGCGAAGCTTTGTTGAGGTACCCTTAACTAAAAACAACTAAAAACAAAAAGAAAAACGGACTCAAACCCTTAAGAAGGTTGTCACGCCATCTATCATTGGGAAGAGCCACCCGGTTCACACAATACTCCACCTTTGGAAAGAACCGTGGCATTAAGAAAACCAAAGGCTTATTGCAAACTTCCGAAAACAAAAAGCTACGAATCATAAATAAGAAGCTAAAAACGAAAAAAAATTGCGGAAGATAGAATAAATATATACAAGAGGGGATTTGAATATACAATAGACGGGATGAATATATACAATGAAATGTAACTTTATATGCAGACCCAAGGAAAGATAAAAAGTGTGATAAAAGTAGCTAAATGTAAAATTATATACAGACCAAATGAAAATCAAGAAAGCATAAAATGTATCAATATATACAGTCATCCAAAAATGAAGGGTGCACCCCCTCGAATAAGAGCTGGCATTGTCCCAATGCCAATTAGTCCAAATAAGCACCAAAAAGATAGAAAAAGGATATAGAGGGCTCCCTAAGCCGTGTCTGTCTACATAGGATAATGTGTGGTCCCTGGGTCCTCTGTGTGCTCGGGGACCTCAGACTGGTCCCCGGTGGTCTGCTCTGCTGCTACTGGGACCTAGGCCTGGACCTGGACAGGCTCTGGAACTGGTACATCCTGTGGCTGACTGGAGGAAGCCTCCGGTGGGTCCACCAACTGGATGATGGCATCATCTACTCTAGGTATCATCCTCCTCCTCTTTGGAGGCCTCTGGGTCAGCTCCGGCTGTGGCTCAGCTGCTGGAAGTGGGTCCTCAAACAATAGGTCTAAAGGCAGCTGGTCTACCTTCAACTTGTCAACATCTGCCCGCAGCTCCTTCATGGACTCCTTGGAAGCCCGTGTCTTTCGTAGCTTCTTATGCTCCTTAGCAAGCTCCTT